CTACTCCCTTAATAAGCGTTATTTTCTCTTTGTGTGCGGTAATCGGTTCTTTAAGAGATGTAGATAATTTATAACATTTGAATAGAAAATGAACGTACACAGTACGTCATTAAAGCATACTAGCGACATATATGAAACGACGTACTGTGTACGTCTCCGTAGCAGTGAAATGATTTATTTAGTTCCAATTAACCACAATATCACTAGTTTCCAAATTGTTTATCCGCAACAGTTAATTAACGCGTCTCCGTTATTTGCTAATTGTGTACTTGCTAATGCTATTATAAGTTATATGTTGGATATTCTTCGTATGGATTCATAGGATTTCGATATCTCACTTTTATCTTCCTTATATTCAGAAGCTCTTAGGAGAGAAAGTTTCAAACCATTTCTAAACTATTTCATAGAACCCCTCCTTGATGAACCTCTTTTTACAAAAATTCATTTATTGAATATGCAAACAAATCGGCCCTTTTATCAGCCTCAACGGATTCCTGATCACATTAATCGAGAGGTGAACTTATGGATCATAATGCTCTGAAGTGGATCATAATGCTCTGGAAAGACATAATGCTCTGAAGTGGATCATAATGCTCTGAAGTGGATCATAATGCTCTGAAGTGGAAAGACATAATGCTCTGAAGTGGAAAGACATAATGCTCTGAAGTGGAAAGACATAATGCTCTGAAGTGGATCATAATGCTCTGAAGTGGAAAGACATAATGTTCTGAAGTGGAAAGACATAATGCTCTGAAGTGGATCATAATGCTCTGAAGTGGAAAGACATAATGCTCTGAAGTGGAAAGACATAATGCTCTGAAGTGGAAAGACATAATGCTCTGAAGTGGAAAGACATAATGCTCTGAAGTGGATCATAATGCTCTGAAGTGGAAAGACAGTTTTTCTCTATTTCAATTGAAGATTTCTTTGATCCTTTTTCTTTTACAACCAAGTAACAGAGTCTGTTAATGATAGACGACTTATTCAGAAATCAGGCTTAAGTCGCCATGATTTTTTATATTCATAAAAGAAATGGGCAGTGTTTTTTAAACTTTCTACTATAGCTTTTTATTTTTTACTTCTGCAACGAGACTGTCATTTAAAAAGTCCTACAGAAACTCGGCTTTTCTCTCTAATTTGGAAAGTTGTTTATACCTCGTTAGTTCAAAAAATGCATATATTGTACGGAGATTTCTTTCATCATGTTCGATCTTCTCCAGTTTGACTTAATAATGTTAATCTCAGTCAGAACAACCACTGCCCCGGATGCAATAACGACGCTGAATCTCTTGTACATATTTACTGGAACTGTTTCACTAATGTTGATTTAATAAGAAGTATGTGTAAAATATGTTCCTTGTTTTTACGTTAAAATAGTACTTGTTTTGATTATTGGTATTTATTTTATTCTGACTATAAGTTTAACAAAAAACATTTATGTAATAATATTTTTCTAATAGCTTAAAGCGTTATTTATAATAAATTAGAAGAATTAGCTTATAAACAATTATTTGACAAAAGTATTTGTATTCGCTTATAATTGACGAACCGCTGGGCCCAATGAAGTGACATATGGAGTTGGTATTCGGATCTGACCCCTATGTCATTTTTGGGGGCCGTACGTCTTCTCTGAACATTGAACGGGAACTAGTTTATACCAAATGGTGTTAGTCTGCAAATGAATGCAACACTGGAAATGAATTACAATATTTTAATATCAGATTAAGTGCTCGTGTATTTAAAAAGAACATTTTTTGTTATTTAGGACAAGGTAATCTGACCCACTTTTAATATATTTCGTCTCCTGTAAAACCATGTTTAGAATTACAATTGAGAATAGGCTAACTTACTAAATTTGACTATTTTATCCTTGTATATCTTTACTTAAGTAAATATAATTATTACCTTTAAATTATTGTTTTAATACATTGCGATTGATATATGTATACGTATTATACAGTTACAGTGAAGGTTGTATTGTTAGTCTGAATAAAGTATCAAGATTGTAATAACTTGAAGGAAAGATAGATAACATCAGGATTATATGTAGTGTTCCATTCAAAAGTTAAATTTTGTAGTATCTGAATGTGATTTTTGTGTTGCATAGTCGAAAGTAAATCTATAATTCACCATTTTACTTGTTTTTATGAATATTTTTACTGGGGTTTCTGATCATCAAACGTTTTAGAAATGTGATGAGAGATGTTTGGAAATATCTCGTTAAATCGTTACAGTAGAGGAAGCAATTGTTAGTATGTGTGTAAGAAGGATTATCAAAGATAGGCATAATGGTTGTGGAAAGTAAAATAATAATTTGATTACACTATTAATACAAGACACTAAAATAACTAAAACTTCCCCACTAACAGTAAAAACAAACCTAACATATCTTCCCTCTACTTCTTCATTACCACTGGACACTAAGATGAATACTATCAGATTAATACCATGATCCAAACAAGACATTATTATATTTTACTACTACCTGTCCTTCATTAATATAGATCAAAAGTTTATCTTACCTCTTCCTCACCACTAACATATCATGTCCCGACTTTTTTCCCATCAATAAAACACATGAACATATATATTACTATTGCGTCCCATGTCTGATGGTTAAGACAGTCGACTCCCGAACATGCTCACCTTTTCAGCCGTAGGAACGTTATAAGGTTAGGGTCAATCCCAATATTCGTTGATAAAGAATAACCCAATAACTAGAGATGGGCGGTATTCAGTAGTTGCCTTTCCTCTAGTCTATCACTTGAAAAGGTTTGATATACGGAAACATCTGTTATATTTTAAGATCTGTGCAAGAACTCAGCTAACAGATGTTTCCGTATATCCAAGCTATCTTCAAGTCTATCACTTCGAAATTAGGGCTAGCGCAGACAGCTCTCGAGTAGTTTTGCGCGAAATCCAACAAACAAACAAATAAAATTCACTATCTCCTTTGGGCCAACCAATAACACAAATGTATTTTATCGGTGCCACTTACCCATCAATATGGAACGTTGACGTATCTTATCATTATCCTCTCCCACCTCGATACAAGATACTAAAATGTTCTATCAATACTGCTTTTTATTAATACAAGATAATTATATGTCCTACTACTATTTCTCCCTTATATACCAAGACACTATTCTGTTCTATCTTCTCTCCATTTGTACAGAATACTAACATAATTTTATCACTGTCTCATTCCTATCAATTTATGGCACAACTGCATCATTAACTCTCACCTGTCAAAACAAAACATTAATTTATCATACCACCATTTAATACAATTTTTACATTTAATACTTCTTTAATACAACACAGTAATATGTCGTACCACTACATAAAACATAGGCTTTACGTCGACCCTCCCTATATCGTTCCTCGAGAGCCCTAAGGGTAAATGCCAGATTTGGTGAAAACTAGTCCAGCAGTTCGCTATTTATAAGCGGACACACATACATTCGTCAAATAATATTTTATTTGAATTATTATTTTGTACAGGTGCAAGAATTCAAAGTCGCATTTGAGTATTCATCTGTATTTGTCTGTCTACAATTTTGTTCATTTTGAAACTATTGGAAGATTTAAAACAAATTATTCAGATCATACGAGACCGCTTTAAGTTAAATAACTCTATCTTAAATCTTTTCAACATCTTCCGTTTACATAGAATGCAGGGTGTTTGTGGCTGGAGTAAATTTTCTTTCTCAAGAATCTCCAATATTGCTTTGCAGAAATCGAACATTTTAACGCATGCACACACACACACAAAACGTTAATATTATCAAGAGCCAGTAAACTTACGATTGACGTAATGCTCTGAGCCACTGCCGTGTAAGTGTAAACTAGCTGCTACTAGATTGTAATGTCAGCGTTTCTACAACATAGAAAACGTTTGTATGTAGCTTCGTTGAAAGGCTTTGCGAATTTCTGTGTAATAGAGTTCAAAAACGTACTAATAGAGCCAATCGTATGTTGATGTTTTTCGTTTCAGTTTTAATTATTTAGTTATATAAAAAAGCATTATGTTGGTCATAAGATGTTTGGGAAATATGATGAAAGTACATCAAGGTTACAGCTATCTGAAAATGACCTCATTAATCTGTTATTACAGTACAGAAAGTAAGGTTATGTGTAATGTTTTGTTGTACCGTTTACATCATTGGCTGTTCTTCTTCCAAAAACCTAGGCTAAGCACATCCCAGTGGTTTGCGTGCCAGGCTGTGGATCCGAGGTTCCAGAGTTCGCGTCCCGTAACCACAAAAAAATATATCAAGGTCTGCAATTTGAGGCGAGGGGTGTTTTATAAAAGTTGGTGTTGACTATCTGCTTTCACTTCACTGTGTATTAATACTCGATAGCACGTTATTCACTTATCGCACATTCAGATCTCTTTTCGTATTTGTAACCAAGGCCGCAGTATTCATGCTTTATACAACGCATTAGTTTTTTATCGTCTTTTAAATACAACTAGTTGTACTCTTGTCGTTTGATGCTGTTTTATTCAAAAGCGCATAATAATTAGACATTACCATGGATGTTCCTTAACTTTAAATGTTTTTAACGTTTTGGTCTGGAGCCTTCTGTGTCTATACACTTAACATTGTGTAATGATGAAATTATTTAACATAAAAAGGTATTTTTCTGAAACATTTTCCCTAAATCTAATCTCAAACCGTCGTATAAGAGCAGTGCAGGTAGAACTCACGAGTCAGGTATGTACAAATATTAAGTTTAAAAATGCGTTATGGTGCCCCTCCCCCGTGGCACAGAGGTATATCTGCGAATTTACAACACAGAGCACAGATAGCCCAATGTGTAGCTTTGTGTTTAACTTCAAATAAACAAGTCTTATGGTACAAACGTGCGTATATTCCCGCTTACTTGATACAATAGTGAATGTTTATGAGACTTCCCATGTTTGACCAATATTATAGGAGTGAATTATACAAGATAAAATTTAGAAGTCAGAAATTATTACCAGTGATTGTACTTACGATTCTTTTTATAGAGTAGAATTTCAAATTGGTCCAAAGATTGGTTTTCTAGGCACTGTTCAACTTTGGTTATCGTATTCTTGTCAGTCATTTCCCCATACATGAAGTTAGCCCGACAGCTTTTCTGCATCACTTCAGCCCTGTTAAACCCGGCGATTTTGCAGAATGTTTCCGAGCAGTAGACCACTGGATAATCCACTATCTGAGCGTTACCCAACAGGAAACTACAGTCCGCTAAAAAAACAAACAAATCGAATCTTTAATACCCAATTTACTGAGAATCCATAGTAATATACGGTATGAAAACAACATAGAGCCTTCTTAGTAAAGTTTCCATTTCTAAAAATAGTTCCTTCTTTCTCAACTGAAATGACGAGCAAAGTAATATTAATTAAGTAAAATTAACAGGTAGACTCCCAGCTTCTTTTTTATCTATAATAATCTTGTATAAAAAAGTATAAACCTTTTTTATTTGCCAACTGTACGAAAATATTTGATCAAAGAATGGGAACGTAGCAGATTCGGTATTTATTGACTTACCGGAGTGTATAAAACAACGTAGAGTCTGTATTGACTTCAGTACGTTTACTAAACGTTGCTTAAGGTTATTTTAAGATTCGAAACAGATCTGAAAATAGATATTCCCTTCTTTATACAGTCATTAGCAGTTCTTGTTTAAGTTGGAGTTAATTAATCACGAAGAACATTTATTTCATAACTAAACTTTGTATTTTTTTGTCCTCGAATAACGAAACGTGGTATTTGATTTTTCAGTCATATTCAATGCAATCAAATTAAGACATTTAATACTGTTCATATAATGCAGTTGATGAAATCTGTTGTCAGTTTTGTTCCTGACAATTCTCATTCAGTTAACAGCTGCTTTAAGAAACTGTTAATGAACACTGTCCAAGATAACCAAGTGTATAAATTTATCATTTATTTAGCACACTTTTGTAGCATTCTAGCACCATTACTAGGAAATTATAGATTCGCATATGCAAAATCCATGGTTTGTTAACTTTAGTGCTAAATTCTTCAGTACAGTCATAATTGTCCAATCAAAGACACCTAACGTGTGAAAAAAAGGTGAAAAAAGCATGACGGTGGGTAAAACAAATTACGCGGCCTAGCTAACTAATGAATGAATATTTGTTGTAAAATTGTTAACAATGCTATAAGTGTAGCTACCAATTTGGCTGCCAATTTTGATTTCATTCACTTAAGTCGCACATACTCAATCCTTTTTTGGCCGCACATCTATACACACCTAAGGTGTTTTTGATTAGATATAATATGTCAATACACACCAACAAACCACAGCAAGTAAGAAAGTGACACTCAATAGTAACCCACATTAGCGTTAGGATCGCAACCCTATTATTGAGAACAAACTTTTACTTTACAGAACCAACCAGATTCTTTAAAATATATGGTGGTAGTTTTTCCTCTCTAAACCAGTGTTAATAACTTCTTACAGTAACGCCATGAAATTTAGATTACCAGTTACTTTGTCATCACCCCCATGCAATCGGTACAGCCCTATCAAGCATCATTATTTATGCTAATTGCTTAAGCTAATATCACGTGACGCTAAACACTTTTTAATTAGGATAATTTCATAAAATGTAGTAAATTTGTGCGGAAAAGTTGGCAAAGAATAATCAATAATAACCATCCACCCGTGTGATTCTTTTGAAAACTTGAGCTAGAAACTGCTAATCTAGTTTGCTTGGCCTAACCAACAGTTACGTATCTGCACGTTATTTCACCTTATAGTTTTACTGCTCTAAATCAGCCATCTTTAATCCGAATGACAAAAACTAAAAACTATCCACTTTTATTCTTAGGTGAAGCCGTAGAAAAATGATAAACCGACAGCTTACGTGACTTTTGTGCGTAGGTGTGCGCAAAACTTTACGTTAAATTTGAGCGGTTTTTGTTGAATAACTTTACACATTTGGCTTATATTTATACCAAATGAGACTCATAATTGTGGGTTTAAAAGATCTATCACTGTACCAAATTTGAAAAAAAATCCATAAAAGTTATATATGTTTTTCTATTAAATAAAGTTTCCGTACTTTCGGTGCGAAGAAAAAAAAAGGAAGAAACTCAATCAAAATTGGAGATGTTATATCTCAGGTATTTCTTAATGTATTGTCTTTAAATTTAGTATGTGAAGTAAGAGTCCAGTAGAGCATATCCACTAAAAGTATGTGATAGTTTGGATTACAACAGTCCGAGATACAGAAGGTGGAAAATCGCTAAAATATCACTCCTGTTAGTAATACACTGCAAAAACACCTTAAAGATATTGGTAGTATTAGTCTTAACATCTACCATTCAAGTTTAACTTTTATCTATCTGTTTGTCTGTTTATATTCACTCTTATGAAAATGTTTTATAATACACACAACTAGGAGATTAAAAATGATTAATGTATACAAAAAGGTATAAACTGAAGAACAATTAAAATGATAGATATCACATGTAACCGAAGTTGATAACTACACGTACTTAATAGTAAATGGTGCAATAACGGATCCAGGATTCTATTTAGGATTGTTTTTAGCATTTGAAATGAATAAAAATCATTAATTTGTATCAATTTAGGTTCAAAAATGTTCATTATTTACGAACTACAGAAAATCACCTTACTTACGGAACATAATACACAAAAGGAAATCTACATACGTCTCCCTTAACCAACATCATCATGAAAAAGTCACAAAATCAGATACCCTATATATTGAATAACCTAGTTTTTACATGCTCAACCAGTTACAGCGCCCTTTTAAATAATTCGAAATATCAGAAGCATGTGATAATAAGTGACTGACTTAAAATTTACATAGGTGCATAACACTATTTTTATTGTTTGGATAAAAACAAATTATAATTGCTGCCATTCTTTCCTGATTTTGGCCCTTGCTTAATATGAAATCATATAAAGGAATGAATTCTCTAAAGGAGTTTCTACGAAACGTTCGAATCCCTTTTGTTCCCTTCTAACCTATTTGTTTGATTTCACAAAAAGCTACATAAGGACTAAAGGTGTGCCTACTTTTGAAGCGACAGACTAGAGGGAAGACAGCTATTCAACAATACCAATCGCCAAATCTTGGAATACTTGTGTGAGATCGACTAGTGGGATCTGACCGCCACTTTTATAACGCACCCATAGTCCAAGGAGCGGAGCGCAATTTTTAATTGTTTTTACAGTAAAGGGGCGTGAACTACGGAACCTCAGCTCCACAGTCCGGCACGCTAATCACTCGGCCACGCTCGGCCCGTCATTAACCTGGTGTACAATAGCGTTATTATAAAATAGGAACTACGAGAACTAGTCGTCGTTGTCTATCAACTCAATTTTATGAAATGAAAATATACTTATGCAAATTATAAAATTTCATGTCAATAATACTGATCCCAAATCCCTTTGTGCTCCACTACGTAAATGTTTAATATTAGACTTACAAGAAAAGCAGGCTTATTCAGTACGAGCTAAGAGTCTTCATGAACTGTGAATGGCTAGCCCGTATTTCGACCGAAGTAACACTACTCAAAAAGCTTGATTTTATGAAATAACGTGTACTTCAAAGGTAGAGAGACGAAATGCGAAATATATAATACTCTTAGATGCAGTGTATGAATGGTTTTCTACTGAAGATTTCTACGCTCACCTTCATGTTATATTTCTCTCTCTCTCTCTCTCTAATGATTGCGATAGTTTGTGTCATAAAGAAGGAAAACTTATTCAAAACGAGGAAAAAAAATAAGTAAGCTGATAGACTTTGAAAACGATGGAACTGTATGAAAATATTAAATATGGTTGATTATATGAGACAAAATAATCAGTTTTCTTTCCACCTTATACTAATATGTGTTTCTCATCTATAGGAGTTGTCTGCATACTGTTGAAAATTATCACAGGAACAGAAGGGTCTAGTTTAGTCAATAACAAAAAATATAATTCAGAAAAATATAGTATAAATAAGGCGACTTTTCTCAACCCTGGGAAAGAATATTGGGCGAAATAAATCAATACGCTGCAGAGAAATAGGAAACATTTTTTCTAGCTCTTTGTTCAACAACGTAATAGAAGAGGGCAAGCAACAGAAATATAAACCATTTAAATTTCTAGAAACTTGTGCAGTAGCTTTCATGTAGTTTAATAATGTAAGATCCATTTTTTGTTTTCCTTTAAGCTTTCTCTAAACCAACATTTCAAAAACTGGGGTCTTGACCAAGGGATAATTTAGGGTATGTACAGTAATTAGCCATCACTTCGTTTGTGTGGGGGGTGGGGGTGGAGGGGTCGTCGTCAAAGCCTTAAATAATTTAAAAGAGGGGCAACAAAAAAGTTTGAGAATCTCTACCCTAAATGATTATTGACATTAAGAGACATGAATGAAATAGTAACAAAAATAATTATATCAAGATGAAAACTAGAACAAAATAATACAGAATGCTCCAATAATATTGTGGATCCTCTTCCAGTGGCTCAGATGCAAGTCTGAAAGCTTATAACACTAAAACCGAGTTTCGATATCCGTTGTGGGCACAGCACAGGTAGCCCATTGCGTAGTTTGCACATAATAACAAACAAACGATATTGTGTGGGCTTAGCTTTGCAATATTTAAATATAACTAACGAAGTACTTGAGTTTGTGAGGAATAAAGAAACTAGTACTGATACTGATTTACACAATGTCATGTAATCCTAGCAAGCGGTTGTAACTAGTGTTTAATTATCTATTAAACGAAATTACCAAGTACATCTTTTTCTGCATTGTTACGTCAAATATGTAATTTAGGAACAATGTAAAGAAAATTTATCAAGTATTAAATGCGGCCAGAAGAAATATTCTCGAATAAGCAGCGTTCCCTACAAATACAATGAAAATTGTAAGTTTTAATGATGTTTTGGTGAGTGCAGCATTGTTAATAACGTCTTATAGTGCATGTTGTTAGGTATTGAGAATTTAAAATAGTCCGAAGACGATATTTTGGTTAATTTACGCTATTTGCCAACAAGATTGACACACACCGTTTTTGTTTTTCATACAAATACGTTTTAATATAAATATATAACAGTACAATTTAAAACAACAATTATTCCGAATGATTACCACAAACAAAGTTTTATAAACAACAATTTCACTAACTTACAAACAACACAGAATTTTCTTTCTAATTCAGGGTCTCCTTAATATCCAGCGAGTTAACTT